AAAAAAAAAACCCAGTTCAGGGTCCCATCTTGGATTGAGTGTATCTGTGTGTATGCGTGGCAGAAGAACCCACCAGTGGTGATGGTGGGGCAGAGTGTCTACTCAGGCACCTTCTTTCACTACCAGAATAGAGGTGTGCAAACAGTGGGAGAGCCAATGAATAGATTTTAAAAAAAGAAAGAAAGAGAGAGAGAGAAAGAAAGAAAGAAAGAAAGAAAGAAAGAAAGAAAGAAAATCAGAACAAAGCAAAACCGACAAGGCATATTGTCCACCTTTGCTCTGATGTTCCTGAGGCATTTTTCTGTGGTGCGTCTGGTCCCCCACTTGGTCTTGCCATTTGGTCTTACCCAAGATGTCAGATCCGGTCAGCTGAGCCAGGCAAATTCAAAATACAAGATTTCTTACTTTTGCTACAAGTTCCACTAGCTATAAGCCTTCAAACCTTTTAAATATTCCTATCTCTGTGGTTCCGAGTTTTGAAGTTCTGCCCTGGATCTGCTTTGTCTGGTATTTGTGGTATTTCTAATAGAGAACTTCACTGCACTTCCACCCTAGCCTCCATGAAGCCCCATCTCCACCACTTAACACTTTTAAAGAGATAATTTACAGCATGTTTTCTTAATGCCATACATCTTATAAATTCTTGATAAGCACTGGACTGTGAACCACAAGGTTGGTTGTTCACACCCAGCTGCTTCTTGAAAATCCTGCACAAAGTTGCTATGAGTTAAATTCAACTCAATGACACTTAGCAGCAACAAATATTAGTTTAGTTTTGAGGATACTTGTTTTCTTTGCATTAAAGAGCAACCCATACTGAAGGCTGTAGTCTTTGAACTTCATTAGTAAATACTTCAGGGCCTCTTTATTTCCAACAAGCAAAATTGCATTATATGCATATAATGAGTCTTCCTCCAAACATGACAGCATATTCTTCTTCATGTAATCTACTGTCTCTGATTATTTGTTCCACATACAGATTGAAAGTTATTGTTGTTGTTGTTGTTAAGTGTCTTCGAATGGTTCCAATTCTTAGGGTTTCTGAGGACTGGTTAGTGGGTTTGAAATGCCAACCTTGTGGCTCAAACTGACTGACCTTGCATTCAAGCATCTATCTTTTAGTGCTTCACCAATACTTCATACAGATTTAATAAGTACCGTGAAATAACTCAACGCTACACATGCTTTTCATGATTTTATACAATTCTTTCTAATGGCTGCCTTTTTGTCTATGAATAGGTTCCTCATGAGAACAATTGAGTGTTCTGGAAATCCTTTTTTTTGTGGCTATTTTTACCCATAGCTTATCATTATTCACATAATTAAAAGGTTTTGCATTGTCAATAAAACACAAATAATCATTTTGCTAGTATTATCTATTTTCAGCCAAGATCCATTTGACATCAGCAATGAGATCCCAGTTTCTACATTCTTTTCTGAATCAGGACTGAAGTTCAGAAACAATCATTTATAATTATCTTCAAATTTTTGGTTGTATGCAGTATTAATGATATTGCTAAAAAATATCTACATTCTGTTTCATCACCTTTTTTTTTTTTTTTTGGAATGGGCAATATATAGAGCTCTTCCAATTTCTTGGCAAAGTAGAGGTAGTCCACATCTCTTGGCATAGATGACCAAGCACCTCCAGTACTGCATGTTGAAAGATTTTAATGTGTATCCTATTTCTAACGCCTTGTTTTCCATCAATGCCTTGAATGCAACTTAGCCTTCTTCCTTGGGCCCCATCAGTTCATTATCATATGCTGCCTACCATTTGAAAAGGATG